AAATCAGTTAGTTTTCTACAGAAGAACAGATGATGTTCCACTGTCTCTGAGGGGTAGTCACATAGTGGGCAGGCAGCAGACTGCTAGATCATGGGAATGGTATAATAGAGTTACGGGTTTCTCCTACCCTGTTGTTTTTGCTGATGCTGTACTAACTGTCAGTTCCGTCAAGAGAAGAGAGAGCATGATGCATTAATTTTTAATAATAAAATATTATAAAGTTCCCATGATCAGGAGTATTTATTAGAAGAGGTTTTACGGCACTCGCAACTGCATAAGGTCGTATGAGCGCAAGAAGATTAAAGGTGTTACAAGAGAGTAACAAACATAAAAAAGAAGGAGGGGAGAAAAGGACGATAGATGTTTGATAGAAAAGAAGGAGCAAACCACACCAGAGCACCCGCCAACCACCCGCTGATCAGGAGTGTAAACATGAGAGGGCAAAGAAAGAAACAACAGTACAACAGACAGAGCATCAGGATGCACTGACTTAATTAATGAAGTTCCCATGAGGATCAGGATTGCAAACTGCGTCAAGAGGAGGAGTATCCTAGCAAAAAGACAAAGAAATACGAGGCACCGAATAAAAATTTCACATATAATACATCTATATGATATGTGATTGGTAGTGGTTAGGATACTGGACTCATAATCGTGAGGTTGCGGGTTAGAGGTTTCGAGCCGCGGGCCCGACGTTGTGTCCTTTGGAAAGGCATTTTACACAAATTTTCCTCACTTCACCCAGGTGGGAATGGGTTCCCAGCCATAGACAGCGAAAGATCTTGTCAGTATGTTAGTGTTTTAGCGTCTATAAATGGCCGCTTACACTGTAATGTATGCTTTCCAGGAAGTTGAGGTTGTTTCAGAATGCTCTCAGGTCTGCTGGGGTAATAGTATAGATTGTGAAGCGCACAGAGCTTGCTGTTGAGCGGGGATTTGCGCTATACAAATGCTATCTATTATTAGTAGTATATTGCACGTCTAATGAAATGCCTCGTTCTGCCATTGTAGGTTCCCGTTGGACATGAGCCAGTGTGCCATAATGGCTTCTGCTCGGGGTAACTCCGACGTTCTCTCGAGACTCCTGCCCCTACATCCACGGATGAGTTACTCAGACTCAGCGGGCCGCAGGGCCATTCACTACGCAGCGAAGAACGGCCATCTCACCTGTGTGGAGCTTCTCCTAAAGGCGGGGGCCATCAGCAACTGCGCCGACGGGACTGGCTTCACTCCCCTTCATCTGGCCTGCGATAACGGACATGTGGACATAGTCAGGTAATGACGATACTGCCGTACGGTAAGATCACAGAACGCCTTATTTTCATTCACAGCAGTCTCGAAATAAAGGGGCTTTTTGTCAGGGTAGCCATTTTAAAAAAAAGCGTTCTTCCTAAATTTGAATTCTTCTTCTTCTTCTTCTTCTTCTTCTTCTTCTTCTTCTTCTATCCCGTGGTTGGGGCAACCGTTGGTGCACCACTGCATTGGAAAATCAGCTCTCGCCATCTATTTTTGTCCTCTGCTCTCCTCAGATTGTCACCCATCGTCTTTCCTGTCCACTCTGTAATGTTGTCCTCCCATCTCCTTCTCTGCCTTCCTCTCTTTCTCTTTCCTTGTATGGTTCCTTGCAGGATTGTTTTGGCAAGTCCTGTGGATCTTGTGTCAGGCCCATACCATTTTAGTTTTCGTCTCCTCACTGTGGTCAGTAGATCTTCATATTATTTGAATTCTAATTTATTCAAAAACTAGTCACAGTTTCGCTTTGGTTTTTTCACACCAGTAGGTTAATCGATCAGGCTTTCGATTTAGCAAATAAAACAATTTGGTGCTTATGGCAGAATAGGAAAAAGAGGATCTTCCACCAAAAACTCGTTGTTTGCTGCTATGTCGGCCTAGCCTAGTCCTGCTGTTCCTTTGTCTCTCTCCTGTACAAGGAACTTGGAACAAGGGTAGCTGGGAAATATTTACTTTCATCATCTGCAGCTCTTTCCATTGGGATACTGTAATTCCTCAAGGTGACAGTGTCATAATATTTCAAAAAGCAATTTAGGGGGAAGGGGGGGGGGGGTGAGAAATGATTGTTTGTAAAGGTGATTGTCTTGGACAGGTGGCCATTAGAGTAGGTTCGAATTCACATGTAGGCCTCTTGTTTGTTTTTTTTTCCTCCTCCTTCCCATTTCCTCTTTCTATCTTGACCCCCACACCAACTAACTCCCACCCTGCCCCTCCCCCCTCACATTTACGTCATTTTTATGGTCCTATCTCTACCTGTCGTGGCCAGTCTGTTGGTGCGTCAGTGCGCACACATCAATTCGTGCCGCACAGAGCTCGGGGAGAGCGCGGTGCACGCGGCGGCCAAGGCGGGTCACGTGCAGGTCATGGAGCAGCTGCTGGCCTACGGGGCGGACCTCAACGCCACGGCCAGACGCAACAAAGGGGGGGAAACTCCGCTGCACAAGGCAGTGGCTGCCGACAAACCCGAGATGGTGAGTCGCTGGTGATAGATGGGTCGTCTGAGTGTGTGTGTATGTGTGTGGGTGGGTGGGTGTGTGTGTTTGTGTGTGGGTGGGTGGTTGGGTGTGTGTGTGTGGGTGTATGTGTGTGTGTTTGTGTGTGTGTGTGTGTGGGTGCGTAGTTACAGTGTTTGTCTAGTGGCATCAAAGAACTTTCTGTAGGGATCTGGGTGGTTGGTGGGTGCTCTGGTGTGATTTGCTCCTTGTTTGCTATAAAAAATCTGTCCTTATCTCTCAACCTTTTTTTTTTTGTTTGTTACTCTCTTGTAACACCTCTAGTCTTCAGCACTTCTGTTACCTTATTGTGTTGCAAGTGCCGTAATACACTTACTGAAACCTAATTCTGTAGGAATTGTCAAGTTTCAGCCATTTCGCATACAGGCGTTATACGTACGGTTGAAATTGTCCAAGAAGGTCACCCTTTGTTGAGAAGAAAAAATACTGAACTATGGTTCTTATCTGTTCTCCTTTTATTTCTTTGTACATTGCTGTCTGATAACACTTCTAATCTGTGGCACTTATATAACCTATTTGTGTTGCAAATGCCGTAAAACTGTTACTAAAAAAACCCACCAAAACAACACCAACCCCCCAAAAACCTCCGGACCTCTCTGTTAGACTTTTGCAGATTCCTGTCAAATAAGTTTTGTTATGACACGTTGATTGTTCTCTCTTTCGCACAGGTTGAGTTCCTACTTCAAAATGGCGCCGTGGCCTCTATAGCAGACGCGTACGGCAAAAGCCCGGTCCATATAGCGTGTGAGCGAGGCCTCCTGCGATGTCTCGGTGTGCTACTCCAACGGGAAGTCTCGCTTGAGGTCAGGGACAACATCGGCCAGACGGCTCTCGGCTCGGCCATCATGGAGAACCAAACAGAAGTGGCGAAGCTTCTGATAGAACAGGGGGCCGATGTGCACTCGGTGGACCAGAACGGATACTCTCTACTACACAAGGCGACGATGAGGGTGAGTGAGAGGTGTTGGTTGTTGTCTCTTTAAGTTTCTGGAAGATTTTTACGGCACTTGCAGCACAATAAGGTCATTTAAGTTCCAAAGATTAGAGGTTTTACACAAGAGTAAGGAACACAAAAAAAGAAGGAAAAGAGGTAAGAACAGTAGATATATGATAGGCTAGGGAAGAAGGAGCAAACCACACCAGAGCACCTGCCAACCACCCACTGTTTATTGTCTAACAATCTAGCATTGAAACGTTTTTAAAAAAAAATGTCATCTTTGGTATTTAGTTTAGTTTTAGTAAGGTTTTACGGCGCTCGCAACTGCATAAGGTCATATGGGCGCCAAGGGGTGGGTGTCAACAGAGCTGTCCAAACGGGGAATCAGGCTTACTCTGCTCACCTCTCAAGCCTCAACAGCACAAAGTCTTTTTCGACTATCAAGGCACCCCAGATATAGCAGTTCTCAAGAAAGTGACAAACATACGAAAGAAGTAGAGGAAAAATGACGACAGTAAGGATGAGGAAAGAAAAAGCAGCAGTTCCCCCTATGTTGTTCCGGCACAGTATGAGCATGACTTTGATAAATCAGCCCATTTACTATTATACTACTGTGCATAAGAACATGTTAATATCCCCGCTTTGGGAATGGCCTAAAGAATCTGTGGAATGGGTTTGTCACTTCTGTGTTGCAGTGCCTAACGTGGTGTGTTTGTGGGTGGTTGGCGGGTGCTCTGGTGTGTGGTTTGCTCCTTCTTTCCTATCAAACGTCTATCGTCCTATCTCCCCTTCTTCTTTTTTATGTTTGTTACTCTCTTGTAACACCTCTAATCTTCTGGCGCTCATATGACCTTATGCAGTTGCGAGCACCGTAAAACCTCTACTAAAACTGAAACTGGTATGTCTTCCGTGTAGTATTTGAGAGGGGATGCAAGGTAACAAATACAAATAAAGAAAGACAGGGAGGAAGAGACTAGTCTCATTTGCTGGTGAGTTTGGATTGAAAGTTG